GTTCAGGATAATGTTCAAATCGTTCAAAGTTCTTCTACGTCTCAGGATATGCAAGCTGTGCAAGTTGTACAAGTTGTACATGATGTTCAAAATTCTCAAAGTTCTCCAATTAACCATGATGTTCAAAGTAATCCGATTGTTCAAGATAATCAAAATGTACAGAACGATCAAAACGTTCCAATTGTTCAGGGTATTCCTCCTACGGTTCATGATGTGCAAAGCGTTCACGACGTTCAAAATGTTCAAAGTTCCGAAATTGTACAAAATGAACAAAGTGTTCAAAACATTCAAATCTCCCAGAACGTTCCAATTCTCCAAAACGAGCAAAACTTTCATAAAGTTCCGGATGTTCAAAGCGTTCCTTTCGTTCAGGATGTGCAAAATGTTCAGAACGATCCTAATGTTCAAAACGCTCAAGTTTTTCAGGGTATGCAGAGTGCTCAACATCCCATGATTATAGATCAGGATAATTCTCAGCTACCTGAACTGCAAAAAACGGAACAAGCAACTAACGAGACTGATCAAGTTTCACCTGAAGTAGCATCATCAATGGAAGTTCTAACACAACAATTACAACAATCATCGATTCCTCTCGTTCAAAGTGTATCAGATGCAACGACGGAAGTTACTATTGTAGCCCCTACCGGTGATGACGTTCAACAAATGGAAACTTCGGCTGCCGCAAACGTTAATGCATTTGATTATGAAGATGCGATAAAGAAAGCTCACGCTATCGCGGCGAAATTACTTAATAATGAAGGTGTAGCTGTTGTTCCATTTTTTTATTTTTCTAAACTTGGTTGATGGGACGATTTACTTGTCAGAAAAAAAAAAAAAAAAAAAAGCCACCATAAAAATTTTTGAATTTGGTTTAGTGCATCAAATATATTGCGCCATATTCACTTCTTTTTTTTTTTTTATTTGAGATAATATCATGTGATTATTTATATTTATTTGACCCCATGACCCTGACAAAATTTAACCACACACAACTTTTAAGAGTTTTTACATAATTTCATTTTTTTAGGGTTGAATAAAAAAAAAAAAGGAGAAATTTACATTATCCAAATGTAAGAAAGCAGGAAACTAACAAAAATTTTAGTAAG